GTGCTCTTGCCGGACACCCCGGAGCGTTGGAATGCTCTTGCCAGACATCCCGGAGCGTTGCAATGCTCTTGCCGACCACCCTGGAGTGTTGCAATGCTCTTGCCGGCCACCCTGGAGCGTTGCAATGCTCTTGCCGGACACCCCGCAGCCTTGCAGTGCTCTTGTTGGACACCCCGGAGCGTTGCAGTGCTCTTGCCGGACACCCCGGAGTGTTTCAGTGCTCTTGCCGGACACCCCGGAGCGTTGCAATGCTCTTGCCGGACACCCCGGAGCATTGCAATGCTCTTGCCGAACACCCCGAAGCGTTGCAGTGCTCTTGCCGGCCACCGTGGAGCGTTGCAATGCTCTTGCCGGACACCCTGGAGCGTTGCAATGCTCTTGCCGGACACCCTGGAGCGTTGCAATGCTCTTGCCGGGCACCCCTGAGCGTTGCAGTGCTCTTGCCGGACACCCTGGAGCGTTCTTCATTCGCGAGCGCTCTTCATGTGCACGAAGTGCAGCGGGCGCTCTTCATTCGCGAGCGCTCTTCATTCGCGAGCGCCGATGACCGATGATGCTCGCAACCCTCCCACGCCCTTGCTGGCTTGGTAATAGGCCCAGACAAGCGCAGCCACGTGACCCGGCAGAAGAAAAACGCTCGGAACGAGCGCTTCAACCCCCAAAACGGGAGAGGATCCGCACATGTGCAGGAAGTGTAGCGGGCGCTCTTCATTCGCGAGCGCCAATGACCGATGATGCTCACAACCCTCCCACGCCCTTGCTGGCTTGGTAATAGGCCCAGACAAGCGCAGCCACGTGACCCGGCGGAAGAAAAACGCTCGGAACGAGCGCTTCAACCCCCAAAACGGGAGAGGATCCGCACATGTTCACGAAGTGCAGCGGGCGCTCTTCATTCGCGAGCGCCGACGACCGATGATGCTCGCAACCCTCCCACGCCCTTGCTGGCTTGGTAATAGGCCCAAAAAAGCGCAGCCACGTGACCCGGCGGAAGAAAAACGCTCGGAACGAGCGCTTCCAGCCTCAAAACGGGGAAGGATCCGCACATGTGCAGGAAGTGCAGCGGGCGCTCTTCATTCGCGAGCGCCGATGACCGATGATGCTCCTTTGAACTGGCCTTGTGGTCGTTTGCTTGTGCTCGGAATTTGTGTGGTATCCTTGAGATCCACCCTGAGCTTGCTTTGCTTCTTGTCTTGACTGGTCTTGTGACCGTTTGTCTGCCTTACTTGTTTTGATGCCCCTCACTTAGGGTACATTCCGCTATGGACCATGTCCCAATCGATGTGTCCCAATCGATTGTGACGCGTACGTACAGCATATGCTGCCAGGTGTCAGAATGCCGGGCCGCCCGTGGTTGTCGCCAAATGTATTTATCATTGGGTGACGTGAAACACGGAGCCGTCGCCAGCAAATTGCAACACAACCCATCAGTCGCACGCGGTGCCAAATGTCAACACATGCAGCATGTATCTAGACGACTTCTCCCCAAGCCCACTATCCCCATCAACGCGTACACTGCGTCGTGATTGGTCCAGACGACACACCCGGAATTATTGACAGGGACGCGCACGTCCCCGCCAGCGCGCCTTCCCCCAGTTCCAATGCTCCTTCCCCATAACTCCTCCACCTCCCAACACCTTACGGGTTCTTCATCTTGCACCATCCTTCCTGTTCCAATCTGTTCATTTCTCTCTTTTCCCGCTTCCTACAGATCTAGATCTTAAAGCACTCTAAGCGCCAGCATTGCTCGTAAGCGTAAGGGGCAGGCCCTTAACGACTGCCCCAAGGATCTTAACGACATTCCTTACATCCGCTGGATGAACCAGCAGATCGCCAACGGGCGCCATCCGAAGGGATTATCCGCGCCGCCCGTGCTTGACGGCCAGGGATCCAGTGCACAGTCGCCCAGTGCAGCCCCGTCACGTGTGCGCCGTCAGCCTGCAAGGACGGCTGCAACACTGCGGCATGTCGTGGAGCAAGATGCTGACGATGACGATGATGACGACCCCGAACAAGGCCTCGACACCGACGACGACGAGGAGGAACCGGAAGACGCTGGGATGTCGCCCAGTGACGACGACGACGACGAATTTGAGGACGCCGAGGACGACGCCGAGGAGGAAGCGCAACCTGTGTCTCAGCCGCCGAAACGGAGCGCCGCACGCGCATCTGGGAAGAACAAAGGCAAAGGCAAGGCGGCGACACCACAGCCACGACAGGAGCCACGCAAGAAGCGGTCGGCTGCACCAGTCGAGAGGGGCTTATGGTCGGACAAGGAGAGCACCATATTCGCCGCCGCGAAGTGGTTCATGAAAGAGGAGCTCGAGTCTCTCAAGGGGAAGCAGGGGACTCAATACTGGGTCCGACTACTCGCGCACATCAAGGAGTCGAACCCTGGATGGTGCAGGGGTGTCAACACGTTGCAGAAGCAGTGCCGTAACTTGACGCTCCTCTGGCGGGAGTACAAGCGTGCCGACGGGGGGTCAGGCCACGACTCGGTTGAGAAACCACCGTGGTATCCTTACCTGGAGCTGCACAACCAGGACACCGCCGCAGTCGCACCGCATGCGGTGGACGGCGGAGGCGCCACTGACGTCAACGTGCCAGCCGGCATGGAGGTTCCCAGTTCGTCTCAGCCAGGCACGTCAACACCAACCTTTACGGGTGAGTCGTCCTTCTATCACCTCTACCTTGACATGCGTTTAACTATTCGTTGTTTGAATGGGAAGAATCCGTTTATTATATTAGCCAACATGCGTGTTACATCGAACAGAAATAGTCAGACTAATCGACTGTACTATTTTCCCATATCCCCTATCACAGCTCCGCCGCCGCCGACCACCGCAACACCTAAGCGCGCACGGGTGCATGAGACGGCTACCATGCAAGCAGCCATGCTGGTCTCCGCGACCATCAAGGACTGTCACGGTGACGCGATGACGCGCATTGAGAGCCTCGTCCGTGAATGGATGGCGCAGGACATGCGACTTGCCCGCGAGCGCATGACTGAATCGGCGCCCCCGGACGTGCACCGTGCGCCGCCGAATTTCAGCCCTCCTCCGCCACGCGGGGAGTCCGCGCCACCTCCCGAAGCCGCACAGCATGGCGACGATGTTGGCGACGTCAACACCGTCACTCCGGGTGCGGAGGATGTGGAGATATGGGTGCGCGGCGTCGACGATTAGCGTAAGAGTCCTGTAGGGCTTCGCCCAGTCTTTTCCGCCTCTCTCTCAAAGCCTGTTGTGTTGGGGGAACACAGGGTTCCCACTTGTGTGTCGCAATGGCACCCCGTGTCCACCAAGGGTCGTGGTTGCGGGGCAGATTGAACCAGGCCATGTTCTTGCGCCTTACGACTGCCATCTCTTCACACATGTTGTGCAGGATCACACAACACGCGGCTCCTGCGAGAATGCGCCACAACCTGCAGTCGTTGCGCCCGCCGAAGATGCGCCATCTCCCTTTGAAGGCGCCGATGCACCTTTCCACCGCCATGCGCGTGGCGCTCTGGCAGTAGTTGAAACATTGGGCCCAATCGTCCATTAGCTCCTCTCCGCGCGGAGCATGCAGGGGGGTTAGGCAGTATTCTCGTAGCGGGTAGGCCGCATCCCCAACAATCTGGTATGGGCTATGTCCCCGTTGTGTAACCTCTCAAGTAGTGCAGACTCTTTGAAAACCCGCATGTCGTGCGCGCTGCCGGGATATCCGATGAGGTAATCCCATATCCTGCCTCGTGCATCACATGTGATTTGGAGCTGAACGGCGTAGGCCGACTTCCTTGTCCAGTACTCTGCCCTGTGCCCTTCCATCCCTTTCATGTGGATGTGAGTCCCGTCCACAGCTCCCACCACTGCAGGTACACCTTTGATGTCTGCGAATTCACGCGCCATCTCGGGAAGTTCATCGCGTGTGGGAAAGCGCACCCAAGCGGCCTTGAAGACTGAGGGGAACTGGGTGAGGAACACGTCAACAAGCTCGTGGCAGAGTGTCTTGGAGACACCGAACAGGTACGACATGTCGACGTATGATATCCCACTCGCCAAGTACTTTATTGGGATGAGCAAAGCAGTGTCCATTGTGACTATCGACCGATGGACGATGGGCTCTAGATATTGTCGCATCCCAGTCTTCACATGCTCAAGTATGGCGCGGTTGATCTGGAATATGTCTTGGAAATCATTCTCCCGCATGTGTTGCAGGTCTTCAACCCACAAAGCATGACGTCGCCACCGTACACTCGCTCTGTGACGGCGGTTCTCCCCGCTGTCGTCACTGGACGATGAGGACTGCTCGTCCTCGTCCTCAAACACACCGGACTCTATGAGGCCTACGAAGGGCTTGGCGACATTTTCGTAGAAAATGGTGTAGTAGTAGGTGACCCAGGCGACGAGGAGGCGTAGGATGAAGGGGATGGCTCTAGGCTCTGCCATCATCCGAAGGGATTACGCGTGTGTAGTAATGGTGTCTGTGCTATGGTTGATTATAAAATCACAGCAGTCGAGAAGGGGAGTTGCATATGTACGTGTTGTTGCCGCAATTATTGACACTGCGGATGAGTACTGTAACCTCCGCGGCCTCCCTGGACATCATCGAGGATCTACCGCGGACCTGGAGGTGTTGGTGTATGTGCTACGCAAGGACGGATGGGCATGTTTATTCTCTGACCAATCACAGACGTTCGCACATAATTGTCGCGCGTCTGTACAGAGTCGCAATACATCGATCGATTGGGACATGCAAACTCGAGACATTTGAGCGCGACTCGGGCAAATCGTGATTGGGACACATCGATTGGGACATGGTCCACAGCGAAATGTACCCTTAGCCTATGGGGGTGTGTCAAATGTTGATATTTGTGATAGGCTGTAGTGAGGTGCTCCTTAGTGAGTACAAGCATGTTAGGGTTTCCTATTTGTACCCCAACTCCTTTCTAGTCAATCATTCCGTTGTGTTCAGATTCTAAGACGAACGACCCACAACCACAGCAAAAAACACCTTATCAATGGCTAAGATTGCAGGTCCACTCTGTCTCGAAGCCCCAGCTCTGCAATAACATGGCAGTACGAGTCCCAGTTCTTCCTCCTCAGATACTTGAGCAGCTTGCGCCGCCGCGCCAGCATTCCATCCAGGCCTCGCCGTGAGTGCAGGTCCTGCAGGCAAGGAGAGAGCAGCTGAGTGTTTGCTTGTGGCACAAGCTCCGGAGTGCAATGCATGAAAAAAGGAAAAGAGGTGCTGAGTGCATATCCTGAAGAAAGAGTGAAGATATGATGAGTTTGCAGGTCCTGAAGAAAAGGGAGAATGTGTTTTATCGTCACACGACTCTCCAAGAGTGCTCACTGTGCAAGGCAAAGACGGCATCACAAGTGCAATCATGCGATGATAATGCTTGCTCGCAAGCCCAAGGGGCAACGGGCATTGACAGGCACACACCTTCTTGTGTGTTTGGAGGTGCTGGGCCATGTAGGCAATGCGCGAGGTGAGGAGAGCAACTGTTGGTTACAGGCAAGCACAGGGAGGGTGGTAAAGCCGGGTGAATGCGGGAGAGGGGAGGGGAGATAGAGGGATGATGAAACTGGGATGAAATTTGGGACAGTGTGTTGAAAGGGCTGTTGGAAACATGGGTGTCGATATAAAACAGGGGAAGGGATCTAACTCACTCAGGCACCAATCAATCCCTCCTTCCTGTGCTAACTCTCTCACTCCCTCAATTGCACCTCCAGTCTCTCACTTGGGTCGGGTACCCTCCCTCTATCCCTTAGCAGCCAGTATTCCACTCTTGCACTCTGTTTAAACCGGTCGTTCACTCTCCCGTTCACTCCCTCACTCCCTCCTTCACTCACTCTGCACTTCACTGGACCCTGTGTCCCCCTCGTGCACTCTGAACCGCTCCTTCACTCCCTGCAGCTCCTCCTCCCGCCGCTCCTCTGCTGACAGTAGTGATGGGTGCACGTACTGGGGTAGATGGGAAGATGGGGAAGGGGGGGAGGATGGAAGGGATGAGAAATGAAGGGGGGGTTGGATGTGCGAAACGAAGAATCCATGTTTCCTAGGCTCCACCGGCGGCCACTCCTGTGCTGACAGCAGCGACGGATGCACGTACTGGGGGGGGGGGTAAGGGGGGGGACGTGAGCAAGTGTAGTCACTGCCTTGGCTCCCCGCAGCTCCTCCTGCCGCTGCTCTGCTGACAGCAGCGACGGTTGGACGTACTGGAGGGGGGAGGGAAAGGGGGGGACGTGACCAAGTTTTGTCACTGCCTTCGCTCCCCGCAGCTCCTCCTGCCGCCGCTCCTCTGCTGACAGCAGCGACGGTTGCACGTACTGGGGAAGGGAGGCGCAATCAAAACGACCGGGGGGGCATGAGCAGGTACAGCTACTGCCTTCGCTCCCTGCAGCTCCTCCTGCCCCCGCTCCTCTGCTGACAGCAGCGACGGTTGCACGTACTGGGGAAGGGGGGAAGGGAGGCGCAATCAAAACGACCGGGGGGGCATGAGCAGGTACAGCTACTGCCTTCGCTCCCTGCAGCTCCTCCTGCCCCCGCTCCTCTGCTGACAGCAGCGATGGTTGGACGTACTGGGGGTAATCGGGTGAGAATGGTGGGTAATGGGGGAGACGCAGGAGAAAAGGGGCAGGGGTGGTAATGGGGGAGACGCAGGAGAAAAGGGGCGGGGGTGGTAATGGGGGAGACGGGGGGGGGGGGGGGAAGGTGGGGTGTGAGAAGGCGGTTAAGGGGATGCACACAGAAGACCAAGGGACCGACGTGAGGAGGTTCCGTTACTGTTTCTCCCCTTTTTCCAATCCACCTCCCCCCATGCCTCCCGCTCCTCCCTCTTTCAGTGCTCCCTCTCCCGTTGGTGGGAAAATGAGAGAAAGGAGGGCGGGTTGTGTAATGGGGGAGACGGGGGGGGGGGGGTGGAGGTGGGGTGTGAGAAAGCGGTTAAGGGGATGGACAAAAAAGACCAAGGGACGGACGTGAGGAGGCCCCATTTGCGCCTGAATGAGTTTTTTTGTTTACTCAAAAGACGGGGGGGGGGGGTGTGGGGGGGGGTGTGGGGGGGGGTGGAGGTGGGGTGTGAGAAGGCGGTTAAGGGGATGCACACAGAAGACCAAGGGATGGACGTGAGGAGGCCCATTTGCGCCTGAATGGGTTTTTTTTTTTACTCAAAAGATGGGGGGGGGGGGGGGGGGATGTGGGGTGTGAGAAGGCGGTTAAGGGGATGCACAAAAAAGACGGACGGACGTGAGGAGGTCTCGTGTCCGCGTCCCTAGACCTTCCAACTCCGCCCATCCCGTTTCCTTTTGCCAGGTGCTATTGAGCCCAAAAAAGCCATCCCTCCATTCCTTCGGGCATCCCTTCGTGCATCCCTTCTTACATCCCTTTTCCACTCCGTACCCGCCACCCACAACCCTCTTCCATCCAACCCCCCACTCCCCATAAGGCAGCAAGCAGCACCTTTCCCAGCAGGCTTGATTCGGCCGCCAAACCGAACCTCCCAACCATTCCACTTTCTCCCCAACGCTCCCAAGTCCCTTCCCCTCGCTCCAGCCCTCCCCACCCGCATCCCCTTCCCCCATCATTTCCCCCCATTCCCGCAGGTCAGCACCTTATCCAGAAGATCCAGCTTCGGCCGCGCCACAGGCGGGCGCGGGCGGAAGTTCCGCCCAAACCCCCGCGGGTCCCGCCCGTACACCCGCTGATCCCCATAGCCTCGCGCGCCCTCTCCGTGCATCCGCGCTTCCCCTCGCCCTTGCGCGTCCCCCCGGGCCTCCCCGTCTGCTCCGCTCCCCGCCTCAGATCCGCCCGTAGGCCCCACGAAGGGCGGCGGAGTGAGGTCGGGCGCTGCGAACCATGATCGCAGACGCGGCAGAAGTGGTGACTGTGCGACGTCGCCTGCGACGGCTGGCGACGAGGGGGTTGAGCCTGCTGCCAATGGAAAGGTAGCGACGGGTGAAAACAAAACAGGCGGGAAATGACGAATCGACGGCGTGAGGAGACAGTCGAGCAGGACTAATGACGAAACAAAGAGCGAGCAGATGCAATTGAATCCATCCGCGTTATAGTCACCTGCGTTGGGATCTGCGCCGACAAATGAAGAAGAATGGAAGCGCGAAAGCCCAGCAGCAGGACCAGTCACACGCAGCGGCTCGGAATGAGGCGAGGAGACGGAGAGCGGAAGATCGGACGAGGAACCGAGAATGCTCACGATGCGCTGCGAAAGCTGTGAATCGAAGAGCGACGCGGATGCACACACGCCGCGAGAAACGGCGGAACGACAGCGCAGGGCAGCCATAGTTGCGGTGCAATTTGCACTATGTTGCTTTCAAAACACAGATTAGCATACACTCTCACATACCAACTTGCAGAACTCTTTGCACATATCATGACAAACTCGATGTACATATAGCACTTTCCAAAGTGTACTGGTTCGCTATACTGCGGCCCCATTAGAAGATGTCCTTGCAGTTCATGTTCACATCTCGATCTGTTACGGTTTTCAACGGTGCAAATGCACACTCAACGGACAATTCTGCTGGTGATCTAGCGTTTTCGAAATTCGCGACATGTGTCGCAACTCGTTTCGCAGATCACCCGAAACATCACCACGACAGACTTCTTCTGAAGTGGACAATTAGCGTTTGATTATGTTTCTGAGTGGTGAATATGCATCAAAACCTTCGCCAACCCCGACATTCTCTAGGAGGAACCAATAATTGTCAAATCTATCCATGGCATCCGCACCGCACCCACGATTCCCTCCTTCCAGCCAGACTTCCCCGTCCATAATTGCGGAATCCGAAACCTCTTCTCATAAAGCATAGGATCTGGGACAAAGCCTGAACCACGTCCGTCCAGACCCGAACACCCACAATTATTGACGACGTGTCCATGTTTCGCCAGAAGTCGTCCCGACACGGCTTGTACCCCCCGCAAAAGCCGCCATGTTCAGCATCCTCCTTCCCAACCGAGCCCATTATCGTGAATGTCTCATCCCGCAAGCATTACACGAGCCGCGGAGGTTTCACAGATGCCATAATTATACGAGCTGCCGAGGAAACCGGCGCTACGGCTCGGGCTGACTCGGTCACGCGTCGCCGTGGCAGCAGTGGTAGCATTGGCCCAATGGCAGCAACAGCAGCAGTATTTATGTGCGCGTCGCCCCTCCCTAATAATCTCGTGTTCTCCTGTCCTGTGAATTCTGGCGACACACCTGAATTTGCACCTAGAAGTTGCCGGCTACCAGTCTCCGTGTCCTAGCGTGTCAAATCGCGTCTTACGCCGAACCACAATCAAAGGGCAATTCGCGCCACGCAGCTCGGGCCAATCGACAGACGGTTGGCTGCACTCTGGACCTCGTCGACGCTGAAGAAGCTTCCTCGGAGAAACCCGCGATCTTCCCATGACTCGAATGACGACTGCTGTAAGTAGTAATATTAAACTGCACCATGTACCACCCATTTCCTTCCCTTCCGCTACCTTATTTCTCCAATTGTTCAATATATGCAACCACTCAAGAAACACACGTCTCTTTATTGGTCCTAAACTTTCGTCCGTATTCTGCCACCCCTGTCCCGTCGTCTTGTGCCCGGCAGGCATCGCGTGCGACGCGCTGTGTGCGTCGCACAATCCACGTCGCCGCTAATCGTCGCCCGCTCGCCCCCGTCGCTGCGGTACACGACAGCATGCGTGCAAGCCCCACTATGCGCGCCTCGTTCCTCCGTTTCCGAGCAATTTCGGCCACTCAACTGGCACTCGTTGCGCTGCTGGCGGTCGGTTTCACAGCCCATAACGCGGCTGCTTCTATCGTGTACAGCAGTGCGGGCGTGCATGCTTCTAACGGGGTTCCCATGCGGAACCTCGGACGGTGGCACGCGCAGGAAGGGGAGATGGCGGCAGGAGGGCGCGCATTGATCAGCAGCAGCCGCATCAGCATCAGCGGCAGCAGCAGCGGTGGCGGTAGCAGCGGCGGTATTGGCAGCGGGGGGGAAGGCGGGGAGATTCCCGAGTGGGCGCGGAGCGAAGTGCTGCGCTGGGAGGCGGCGCACGCGCGAGAGCTCGGGGAGGCGGAGGATGAGGCGGAGCGGGCGAAGCGGGCGGCAAATGCGGAGATGGCGCGCGCGCTGTGGGAGGAGACGGAGGCGCAGTTCGAGGGGCGGCTGCAGGAGTGGCACAGGCAGAGCGCGCGCCTGCAGGGGGTGGCGCAGCGGAAGTCGGAGAAGCGCACCAGGCGCGCCATGCGGCAGTGGGCGCGCTCGCAGGGAAAGGCGAAACGGGCGCACACACGGGCGGCGGGAGTGGCGGGAGTGGCGAGCCCGACAGACGAGGAGCTATTGGATCTCATGCCGGGAGGCACGCGCTCCTGGCAGAACCTTAAAGCCTCCACTGCCCGCTCCTCCTCACCCTCTCCCTCCGCCTTCTCTGCCACCATTGCCTCCTCCTCCGATACCTCTCCCTCCTCCTCCTCTTCCAATTCCTCCTCCTCCTCCTCCTCCTCTTCCGATTCCTCCTCTTCCTCCTCCTCCTCGTCCGATTCCCCCTCGTGCAACTGTTCTTCTTCCTCCTCCGGTACGAAAAGCAAGAACGACACGGCGCCCCCAACGCAATGGGAGGAGAATCGCCCGGCGGGGGACTCCCCGTGCAGTTCCAGGAGCACCGGACCGGTGATCAACGTCACCACTCTGGACCACATTCTATCGCGCACGCAGTACCCATCGAACCAGACGGTCACGCTGGTGCTGCAGGCGTCGATCACGCTCAACCACTCGTTGGTGCTCGATTCGAGCTTCTCCTGCACCATCTTCCAGGCAGATACACTCCCCAGCGAATATGTCTTGGAGATCACCACTGATACAGAGCCAGTGCTTCAGGTGCGTTTCTGAGGCTTGTTGAGTCGTCTGAGAAGGAAGCTTGGCTTCTCGTGTACCACCTCCAGGCAGATACGCTCCCCAGCGAGTACATTCTCGAGATTACCACCGACACGGTCCCCGTGCTGCAGGTGCGTTCTTTGAGACGTGGTAGATAGTCTGATAACTTGACTTCTCCTGCACCATCTTCCAGTCCGACTCGCTCCTCAGCAAGCATGTTCTCGAGATCACCACCGACACGGTCCCCGTGCTTCAGGTGCGCTCCTAAGACGTTGTTGAGTCGTGAGGAAACTTGGCTTCACGTGCACCAACTTCCAGTCGGACACGCTCCCCAGCGAGCATGTTCTCTAGATCACCACCGACACAGAGCCCGTGCTGCAGGTGGGTTCTTTGAAACGTATTGAGTCTTCTGAAAAGAAAGCTTGACTTTTCCTGTACTATCTTCCAGTCGGACACGCTTCCCAGCGAGCATGTGCTCGAGATCACCACTGACTGACACAGAGCCTGTGCTTCGGGTGCGTTTCGTGGCCGTCTAAAAAATTGCCTTTCCGTGCACTGATTCCCTCCCCAGCAAGCATGTTCTGGAGATCACCAGGGTTCGGTTCAGAGGCGTTTGGAGTCATCTGATCACTTTTTGAGAATTCTCAAAAAACGCTCCTGAGGCGTTTGGAGTGTCTGATCACTGTTTGAGAATTCGCGCTCCTGAGGCAATATGAGTCATCTGATCACCTCTGGAACTGAGCCTGCCACTTTGACTCATCTAGACCACCAACCACTGACATATCACCACGGACACGGACATATCACAAATTGTCAGCCTAGCGACCACCATTCACACTGACTCTCTGCGTGCTGCCCTGCAGGTACACAATGCGAGCAACATGGTGTTTATTGGGATCGGGCTGAGGAGTCCTGTCAGAAACGGGTCGGCTTACTGCGAGTCGCTGCCCGAGTATGGGAACCTGCTGGGGAACGACCTGCTGTGCCCGGCTCTTCTCATCTACAGGTGCGTTTTGAAGTTCGTTTTTGGGGTTTGTGAATTCAGGACGTAATGGTTGCCTTCCTTCAGGAAAGCCTGTTGTGCCTGCCAATTGTCCTGCTGTGTCTGACTGCTACTGCTGCTGCTGCTTTGGCTGCTTCTGGGCCTTCCATTATGCTTCCCTTGCCTAAAGGTCGCACGGCATTCAGTTCACGCAGGCGTCAGTGGTGTGGCTGGTAGCAGGTGCTAGACTCGCTCTTTCTTTTCTCACTAGGCCCGTCACCTGTGTCTGCTGCTGCTGCTACACCTTCCCTCGTGCTTCCCTGCAGGTCGTACGGCATTCAGTTCACGCAGGCGTCAGTGGTGGGGCGAATAGACGTGTTCCGCTGCGCCTACACGAAGCTAGACTCGCTCTTTGCCACGGCGCCGTGGGACTTCCAGTACCACCCGGGGGTCATCCGCATGGGCATGAGCGGCATAGGCGTCAACCTCACCTCCTCGGAGAATATCATCTCCAATAACGACCTCTTTGGCGCGTGGGAGCTCATCTATCTCTATCGCGGCACCATCGGCGCCACCGTTCGCAACAACTTCCTCCACGACTACCTCTTCTCAGGCTTCAGGTGCGGTGCTTAGCTAAACAGAGCGGTGCAGTGCAGTGTGTGGTGAGCAAGAGCTTGTCTGTCTGTATCGGGGGAGCATTGGGAGCTTGTTCCTGTCTAGCTTGTTTTTGAGGCAGGGTGTGTGTGTTTATCATTGCAGTTGCTGTGACCAACCATTGGTTTACCATCTCTTTCTCCATCTCCCTCACCAACTCTGCTCCAAATGCCCAAATGCCCTTACACACTCTCTTACACGTCCAGGTGTGGTGCGGACGTGCATTTCGCGTGGGACTGTGCGCTGACGACAGTGAAGCACAACTTTGTGTTCTCCCCGCAGAAGAAGAACCTCACAGGCGACTCTGCTGGCATCTACTTCTGCACGCACTGGTTCAACCCCGGTGAGTTTCAGCCTTTCTTGATTCTTGATACTGGTTCAACCCCAGTAAGCCATCAACCCAAGTACTAAAACTGAGCCACCCTTGGTACTATCTCAGCTTCATTCGAATTATATGACTGCCATTAAAGAGACACGTTCTGTTCCCTTCCTGTCTGCCTCTTTCCTCTCTCTTCGCCGCACGTGACCACATTCCCTTCCTGCAGCTGTGGCTTCTCACCTTCCTTCCTCTCATCCTCTCATCCCAACCGCACTCCACCCCACCCCATCCAGGCAACACGGTGAGCTGCAACTATGTGATCGGCGGGGACCACTGCTACTACCTGGACTACTGCACGTCAGGCGTGGCCATTCAGGGGGGCGTGTGCCTGCAGCTGTGGGACGGCGTGAAGCTCAACAACGGCAAGAGGAACCACATCCGCAGCCTGCTCATGGTGGGGCTGGGCCAGAGCCCCGGCTACATCACGTGCTTCACCGTTACGCTGAATCACTGCGGGAGGGAGCCGGGGAAGTACTGGGAGGCGATGCGGAAGCTGAACTACGACACGCCAGAGATCAATAAGGTGAGGGTTAATTACCCTGGAAATGAGTGCTCATGGTTGGGCTGGGGCGGCAGAGCCCTGGCTACATCACGTGCTTCACCGTTACTGTGAACCACTGTGGGAGGGAGCCGGGGTGGTACTGGGAGGCCATGCGGAAGCTGTACTACGACACGCCAGAGATCAATAAGGTGAGGGTTAATAAAACTCCTCTCCACCACCCCTCTCCACCCCTCTCCACACCTCTCCACCCCTCTCCACTCCTCTCCACTTTTCTCCACCGATCTCAACCCCTCTGCACCCCTCTCCACCCCTCTCCACCCCTCTCCACTCATCTCCACCCCTCTCCACACCTCCACCCCTCTCCACACCTCTCCACCCCTCTCCACTCCTCTCCACCGCTTTCCACCCCTCCACTCATCTCCACACCTCTCCACCCCTCTCCACTCCTCTCTACCCCTGTCCACCCATCTCCAACAATCTCCACCCCTCTGCATCCCTCTCCACCCCTCTCCACCGCTCTCCATCCCTTGCAAAACCCGCATCCCTTGTTCCTCCACCAGGAATGGCCATGGATGAAGCACGTGTGTCGGCAGACGCGCATCGGCGCGTACAGCTGCAACCCGCCCGGGCCCGGCGCGCTCACTGCACACGACACCGGCGCGTGCAGCGGAATGGCGACGGAAAACGACGTCGAATACATTGTTGTCGATCCGGACTCTCTCAGGGACGCGGAATATCGGTACTGCGAGAAAAACCCTGGCGCGGAGTATTTGAACCGGCAGGTTGTCTACAGGTACACTGGCGATGACATGAAATTCGCGGATTATGCAAATCAGGATTTTGGGGTTTCGGAGGGATCGGTGGTGTTGGCGGAGCACCCCGAATTTGTTTCCTGCCCGAAGAAAGATATCGGGATAAAGGCGGTTTCGGTACAATCGTACTTCAAGGATTGGAACATTCCGGAGCCGCCGTTTTTCCAGGCTATGCTGGACCTGAGCTACAAAATGGTGTTTAATAGTGAGCTTTTCTAGGGTGTAGGATTTTCCGGGGTTCCAGTATCGTGTGGTCTGGAGCTCTCAGTTTGGTGTAGGAGAATAAATCATGGCACCGTGGTAGCTTCTGCTTGTTAAGTCTCTCGCAATAAAGTGCCGTGAAAGCTTCCTTTTCAGGTCCACGCTATTTCACGCAGCTCTTGTACCGCGAATTATTATCTCAAAACAATTACATCAAACATGTGCTGCTCTGCATTCCACGTGCAATTAATTGGCAACCTGCAAAACTTCCTGCCATGTGTACTCTCTCTCATGATGCCTTCAAATCAATTTTCCATTCAGGCAGCACAAAGGCATGTCATAGTGAACACCCCACCACACCACCTCTGCCTCTCCACATCAAAGCCAGACACACTGATGGCTTGGGATTCAGGCCAAGGTAGCCCTCTTTCCTTTCCTCTCACTCAGCTATCACTGCCGCACTGCCCCCCTTCCTGGCACCCATCATCTCGTCGTAAATGTCTGACAACCTCTGCCTCTCTGCTGCTGACACGCACAGCCGCATGCAGCCTAAGCCAGGGTTGCTCGATTCCCTTTCCTCTCCGCCATGGCAGCAGCACTGCTCCCCTTCCTCGCCCCCATCATCTCGTCGTAAATGTCTGACAACCTCTGCCTCTCTACTGCTGACACGCACGACCGCATGCAGCCTAAGCCAGGGTTGCTCGTTTCCCTTTCCTCTCCACCATAGCAGCAGCGCTGCTCCCCTTCCTCGCCCCCATCATCTCATCATAGATATCCGACAGTCGCTGCCTCTCTGCTGCTGACACGGATGGTCCAAGACACACTGACGGCTCACGATTCAGGCCAATGTGGCTCTTTTCCCTTTCCTCTCCGCCATCGCAGCAGCACTGCTCTCCTTCATCGCAAATATCTGACAACCTCTGCCTCTCTGCTGCTGACACGCACGGCGGAAACACACTGAAGGGCTAAGCCAATGAGGTCCTCTGTTCAATTTCTCTGCGGCATCGCAACAGCACCCCCCCTTTTCCTTGCACCCATCATCTTGCCCACATGTCTGACAACCTCTGCCTCTCTGCTGCTGACACGCACGGCCGCACGCTGATGCCTAAGCCAGGGTTGCTCTTTTCCCTTTCCTCTCCGCCATAGCAGCAGCGCTGCTCCCCTTCCTCGCCCCCATCATCTCATCGTAGATATCCGACAGTCGCTGCCTCTCTGCTGCTGACACGGACGGCCGCACACTGCCCACAGCCTGCTCCAGATGCAACCTCACCAGTACCGGTCTCCCTGCCTCCACACCCTCTGCTTTCTTTCCCTTTCTGCCCTTTCTGCCCTTCCTCGCTGCTCCTGCCTTCCCTCTCTGCTGCTTCTTCTGGTCCTCAGTACCTGCTGCCTCGTCTGCTGCCCCTCCTGTCCCTGATGCCTGCCTCCCTGCTTCTGCTTCCACCTCAGCCTCCCTCCCTGTTACCTCTTCCACTGCTGCCTTCTCGTCCCCTCCATCTCCATTTCTAGTCTCCTCCCCAGCTCCCTCCTCCTTCCCTCTTTCCACTTTCTCACTCTTCCCTTCTCCCCCTCCCTCACCCTCCCCTCCTCCCTCCTTCTCACTCTCATCCAGCACAGCATGCACCGCCGCCAGCTGTGCATCTGCCAGCAAGGCCTGAAGATCCGCCCCACTGAACCCCTCCGTGCGCCGCGCCAGCTCAGCAAGGTCCACGTCAGCACCCAGAGGAAGCGTCCTGGAAAGCGCGCGCAGGATCGCCAGCCGATCCTCCTCCCCGGGGAAATCGCAGAGCACGAGCCGATCCAACCGTCCAGGACGCAGCAGAGCTGGATCGATCAGATCTGGACGGCTCGTAGCGGCCACCACAAAAACCCCCTCTAACCCCTCCACACCATCCAGCTCCGTTAGAAGCTGATTCACTACCCTGTCAGTCACCCCCGTGCTGTCATGCCCTCTCCGCGGCGCAATCGCGTCAAACTCGTCGAAAAACAGAATGCACGGAGCGGCACGGGAGGCTCGGGAGAACACGTCCCGAACCGCCTGCTCCGAAGCTCCAATATACTTATTCAACAGCTCCGGGCCTTTCACCGAGACACACCGGATCCCGCACGCAGCAGCAGCAGCGCCGACAATATGCGTCTTCCCGCACCCGGGAGGGCCGAAGAGAAGCACACCGGTGCGAAGGCGGAGAGGAGCTGAGGCGAAGATATGGGAGTGTTGGGCTGGGAGCTCTAGGACTTCTCGCAGGGCTGTTTGGGCGTCGGCCATTCCTCCCACGTCGTCCCAGCCTAGCTGGGGGGAGGATGAGGAGGATGAGGAGGAGGAGGGGTCGGAGGAGGAGGAGAGCTTGGCGACGCCGCGCACGGCTGCTGGGACGAAGCCCTGGAGGGCGGAGGTGAAGTTTGGCTCGGAAAGAAGGAGCGCGTGTTGCTGCTGGTGCACTTGCTGTATTGACTGCTCTTGCAGCTCCTGCTGCACCTTCTCCCCGTGTTGCCCCTGCTGCATCGACTGCTCTGGTTGCTCCTGCTGCTCCTGCTCCACCTGCTCCTGTGGCGGCCGCTGCTCTCCCCTGCCCGTTCCTGATGCCAACATGGTTACTCTGCCTCTGATAATTCTTCCCCCTTTCTTCTCTCCTCCCCCTCCGCCCTCACTCTCACCTTCCCCAAACCCATCCCCACCCCCACCCGCATCCCCACCCTTTCCCCTTCTCCCTGCTTCGAACATCACATGCCCTCGCCTCGCGTGAGCCGCACGATCGACTAGCACCTCAAGATCCGATGCGTCACAGCCCTGACACCTGGCGGCCACCGATTGGAGCAGAGCATCCCCCCCGAGCCACCCAATCCCCCTCTCCTGCAGGATCCGCCTGAGCAGTGCTTCCCTCTCGCCCTCCCCCATGGGGGGTAGCTCCACAGGGGTGTCAAAGCGGCATGCGGCACGGAGTTGAGGGGCTATGGCGGATGGCGAGGGGGCTGTTGCTAGGAAGGCTATGGGGGCCTGATGGGCCTGGGACATGGAGGGAAGGGGAGCGGGAGGGAAAGGGAGTGTGGGAGGGTAGAGAGTGAGTGACACTGGGAGGGGAGGGGAGAGAGGAAAAGAGTGACCACAAGAATCAGGATCCGCCTGAGCAGCGCTGCTCTGTCGCCCTCCCCCATGGGGGGTAGCTCGACAGGGGTGTCGAATCGGCATGCGGCACGGAGAGATGGCGCTATGGCGGATGGGGAGGGGGCTGTTACTAGGAAGGCAATGGGTGACTGGTGGGCCTGGGAGATGGAGGGGAGTAGATGGAGGGGAGTAGATGGAGGGGAGGGGAGGGGCAAAGAGAGGAAAGAGGGAGCAGCACGGAGAGATGGCGCTATGGGCCTGGTGGGCCTGGGAGAGAAGTAAGGGGAGAAAAAGAGGGAAGAGGACGGACAGGGAGGGGGGCGACAGAGGTGAGGTGAGGTGAAGTGCGGTGAAGTGAGGTGAAGTGAGGAGAAGAGAGGATAAGTAAGGAAAAGTGAGGTGAAGGGAGGTGAAGGGAGGTGAAGTGAGTTGAGGACGGCGGCGAGAGGGGGCAGAGATGTGAGAGTGAAAGGCATGGCTGCTGATCTTGCATTCGTGTATGTTCCCTATCAAATGCGCACCATACACATGCCGCGTCACCATGCTGCTCACCTGACATTCATCCATCAGGTCAGCAATAAACTCCACCAATCCCGCGCCGCCACCTGTCCCTTCCTCCGGCCCCCCACTCGCCCCCGGAACCAGCACATCCAGATCGTCCAACACGATGACAGCTGGCGCCCTCTCATTGGCCCGCGCCACCGCCCTCCCCAGCACCCCCCGAACCTCCTTCGCAGGTTCGGACCCGAGCCTGGAGCAGCTGACAAACTCCGTGTGCGCGAGGCAGGTCCGATCGTTCCGAACCTGCCAGGCCAGGGCCGAAGCTAGGGAGGTTTTGCCACTGGCAGGGGGGCCGTGGAGGAGAATGGAGCCTGGGGCAGGGAGGCGGAGAGAGCGACGGGTGAGGCGGAAGGGGAGGGAGAGAGAGGCGAGGAGGCGAGAGAGGGCAGTGGTGGCTGGTTGGTGCAGCCAGGAGAGGGTGAAGGAGAAGGGGTGATCTAGGGGTGGTGCGATGGCTTTCAATGGTGCTGCTGCTGATGCTGATGATGCTGTTACTGATGTCAGTGCTGCTGGTGTGCTTAGTGGTGGTGCTGAGGGAGAGGGCAGGGGTAGCAGAGCAGAAAGCACAGGAGAGACATTATCAGAGGAGTGACCCGGAGAGATGACTGAGTTATGATGCGACGATGCTGCTGACTGGGCCTGCACAGGGCTATAAACGAGTCCGGGGCTGCTTGTAAAGGGGACAGCCCACTCCATGGGAGCTCCCAGTGCTACAGTGCTGCGCTGCAATTGGACGGCCGCCAGCAGCGCCAGGCTGTCGACCGCCTCGCTGGCAGCCGCCCGGACGGCAGGAAGCGTCTTGGAAGCTTCAGAAGGATGTCCATGTGAGGGTCTATTTGAAGATCCCACTGTCGACCCATGAGATATAGAGCCAGGGATTGGTGCAGCACTCCCATACGCACCCATTCCACCCATTCCTCCCATGCTGCTGCCAGGCCCCATCCCTCCTGCCATACTGCCTGGCCCCATGGTTCCACCACCACTCATCATCCCCCGCCCTCCCGTTCCTCCCAGCCCCATGCTTCCTCCCAACACTGCTCCTGCTAAAGCACTCAACGCCCCCATCTGCTGCTGCTGCTGTCTAAGCGTGTCATACTGCGAGTTACCTAAGCCACTACTGGAGGTGGAATCAGCCGCAGCGCTACCAGCCGCACCACTAGCAGCAGCGGCAGCAGGGCGAGTGCGTCCCCCTGGCGGCGAGCCAAAGGTGAGAAGAAAGAGAGTGTCCCTTGCTACTCTTGCTGCAGGCAGTGATGCTGCTGTTGCCGTTGCTGTTCCCTCACCTCCCTCTGCAGCCCTATCCCCATCCACTCCACCCTGATTCGCTCTGTCCCGGCCCGCTCTGTCCCAATCCGGTCTGTCCCTTTCCGCTTCATCCCACCACACCAGTCTCAGCACGGCACCATCCACCAGAGGCACTCCCATCTCTTCCCTTGCTTGCCCCGGGCCTCCCTTTGCTTGATCCGACCCTCCTTGCAGCAACACACACGCCAGCGCCTGCACCCCTGGATTCCTCTCCTTTTGAGACGGCTTAAAACGCCCTGCTGGCTCCCTCCCCTCATCCTCCTCTCTCTCCTTTCTCTCCCCCTCCTCCATTCCAGCACCCCTCTCTCGCCCTTTAGTCCTCTCCCCCTCGCTTCCCCTCCACCCAGCTACTCTCCTCCAATGCCTTTCTGCTGCTTCCACAGCAGCACCCACTCCAACCACTCCTGACCGTGCCTGCTGCTGCCGATCCAGCTGCTGAATCTGCTGCTGCTCGTTCCCTGGGTAATGATCACCTATGGCACTCCCTCCCCCTCCCGCTGCCCCTCCTGCTCCTGCTCCCCCGGATCCTCTCCTTGACCCCGCACCCCCCGCACCCCCCGCACCCCCCACTGACGCAGCACCAGAGAACACAAGAGGGGTGAGGAAGAGAGAGGGGGGAGGGGGGATGAGGAGGTAGGAGGAGACAGTGGAGGGGGGAGATTCGTGCAAGGATTCCCTCACATTCCCTTTCCCTGTACTGCTCCCTCCGCTGCTTCCCCCACTCACTCCCTCCCCTCCACCTTTCCGAGTCTCCACTCCACCACCCCCAACCGCATGCCACCCATCACCACCAGCCCCAACCGCATTCCACCCCTCTCCACCACTCCTAGCGCCTACAGTCCCTTTAAGCAGCACTTTTGAGAACCAGTCTACTGCCAGGCACAGGGAAAGGGCCGGAGGTATCATCAAATGGCCTGCTGCCACGTGGCAGGAGGGCAGCACTCGCACAGGGACGGAGGAGCGCGAGGAGAAGCGCTGTGATTGGCTGGAGCGGCTGGATCCAGGGCCCTGATTGGCGGGTTTTGGGTGGCGGGCTGATGCTGGCACGTGGAGGAGGAGTAGAGGGGGAGGAGGGTGTGCTGTTGCTGTTGCACCGTTGACACTCTCAATCTCACTCTTTCCCTCACTCCTGCTTCCACCCTCACTCCCACTCCTGCTCTCACTCTCTATTTTCTTGCCGTTCTCGCTCCTCTTCTTACTCCTGCTTTCGTGTGCTGCATGTGAGGGTTCTACAGAAGAAGACCCGTGCTGCAGCTGTGCCCCTCCCACTCGCTTCCAGTCCGCCTTGCTCACAAACACACACCCTGCCGGCTCCACCACCAATCCACCGCTCTCCCCACCTCCCCTGCTGCTTTCTGCTGCCGAACTCCTTGCTGCTGACGTGGCAATCGCCTTTCAAACTGGCGCCTTCCCTACATGAGCCACGTGTATCACAGACTGCCACGCTGTCACTAGAGGATTCCTGTGATTGGCCTGAAACGACGGACCAATCAAACGGCTGCACACGCAACCACACTCGCACCTTCCTCTCCCTTCCACCTCTTCCCTTCCCATCTTTACCCTCTTTTTCCTTCTCCCTTCCATCTCCGCCTCCGGCTCCCCCTCCCCCACCTATCAGCGTCTCTCCTGCACCGTCCCCCTCCCCCTCCGCGCCCTCCCCCGCGGCCCCCCTAGTGCGGGGTGCAACAATGACCTCAGACCCGGGCACCAGGCGCACCAAGGGGGACGGGGACGCGGAGAGCGCGCACAGGCGCAGGGGGGCCTGCCCCTGCGCCCATATGGGGAAGGACTGCCCTGCTGCAACCGCACCCACCTACGCGCATCAGGGGAAACGGGGGGAGGAAGAGGGGGGGGCAACGAAGAGAAGGGGAGATATCTTTAGCTTTGGTGAGGGAAATCGGTAAAGGGGGGCTTGCTCCTCCTAGTATTCACCTCCCCCTGTACCCACCTGCCTAAATTCCACCTCCCTAGTAATCACCTCCCCCAGAACCCACCTGCTGCAGAATGGTCTCCTCCAGAAGCGCCGGATTCAGCTCCAGCACCTCCCAGTCGTCTGACGTGGCAGGTGCCACGTGGACGGCCTCCGCGGGCGGGATGCTTCCCCACAGGCGCACCCTTACGCGCACCCTCTCCCCCTCCGCCAGCCCCAGACACTCCCCCAACTCCCGCGGAACCTCCAGCGCCGAACCTGCTGCCGCGGCTCCGCCCCAAGCCAAAAAGAGCGGTTTGGCCGAGGCTCGGGATGAAGAGGCTCGGGAAGAGGCTTGGGAAGAGGCGTGGGAAGACGCGTGAGACGAGGGTTGGGAGGAGGGAGGAGGGGAGGTTCGGCGAAGGTCGAGAAGGAGAGGGGCGGGAGGGGGTTCATCGGAAGAGGAGGAGAGAGTGAGGGAGTGGAGGAAGTGGAGGGGCAGTCGCACCCAGCAGGAGCGGTCGGGGATGAGAGAGACGATGAGATCCATAATTTCGAATTCTAGCGGTGTAGCTGTAAGATGCTGTAATAGAGGTGTAGACAAATAGCGGTGAAAAGTTACTCCAATGAAACTAGCGGTGCATCGGTGGGAGGGACGCTCGGACACGCACGCACACAAGCGGCAGCACGGCTGCAGCTAAGGATGACGCGAATTCACAGGTTCTTGCGAGAGATTCGGATCAAGACGGGAGACTTGGTTGAGGAGAAGTTCGAGGAATTTTCAAAAGGCACGCGCGGCACAACTGCAGCTAGCGAGGTGGATCCGCGGGTTTGCAACAGGGTCACAGCGACAGCGGAAGGAAGGAAAGGATAATATACTACGTCGTGCCGTGCGAAGCCGTGCCATGTGACAACAAGCCGTGCGACCAGTCGTGCAATCCGCCCCGTGCGACCATTGTGCGACCAGCGTGCCAGTGCCAAGCTAGCGACAGCTTGCTGCAACACGCACTCCCTTCGAGGGTGCGGTGCGCACAACTAATATCGCCAACAGCCGCAACTAAACGCATGAAGTGCTATGACAGAGCGTTGCTTGTAAACCGTACGCGCTACTAATTGCGAATGCAGGACAGGCTAGGCGACGATACATCTAGTTGTCCGACTTGGCACCACGTGGCGTGGTCTACAAACTTCGGGACGAACGGGAATTAAAAGCTCAACATTTGCGACAAGGTGTTGCCCAAAAGTTGTAAAACCACGATTAGGGTAACGTCCACTTATAACGGCTCACCATGTAGCGAGCAGAATTTGGTGTGTAAATAGGAATGCGATCACAACTCGTGGCTAGTGACATAGCAGCAGATCCTGATTCCGCTTGCAGAACAGCAAGTGACCTTAGCTAGCGGTATTAGCTACCTCCTCCTTTGATCTCTGGATTCTCAACTATCTTTGCCTGAGACCGGCAAAGATGACCTTCTAGTAGCCTTGGAAAGCCGTCATTTTCGAAAGGAAACGTGCGAATCGCCAGTCGTAGACAGTTCTGGTCGATTCCAACCGTCAAGCTCATCCCGTTTCTGGGTTCCCTTCTCGATTCTTAGCATCATATAAAACCAGCTCATCCCATACTGCCCAAACTCCACCAGTACTCCTGCGAATTAACGTCCACTGCGACTCGCGTTGTCGCACGGGGCGCAGCGATGACGCTGAAGGCAACCATTGCGACGTGGGCCCGTCGCGTGTGCGACCCGCGCGACACCAAGGCGGCGTGGGCCGTCGCACGGCTGCTTCTAATCGCAGAGGCGGTGCTGTGCTCTGCGATCATCGTCAAAGTCCCCTGTGCGTCTCGTCCTTGCCTCGTCATTGCCTCGTCATTGCCTCGTCATTGCCTCGTCCTTGCCTCGTCCTTGCCTCATCCTTGCCTCGTCATTGCCTCGTCATTGTCTCGTCATTGTCTCGTCATTGCCTCACCCTTGCTGCTCCCCGTCATTGCCGCTCGCCGTCTCTCAATCACAACTGCCGTGGTTCTTCTCTCTCTTCTGTACTCCCCGATTCTTGAGCTCTGCTGTCGTCCTCCTCTTGCGGAAAACACGCTTCTTCCATTCCTCCTCCCCGTTTGTGCCATCTTCCCCACTTTATTCTGACCTCCAGACACCAAGATAGATTGGGACGCGTACATGGCGCAAGTCACGGGCTTCCAGCACGGCGAGAGGGATTGCACCAAGGTGGAGGGCGACACGGGCCTCCTCGTCTACCTTACCAGTTCTACCTTGGAGAAATCCCAGTATTGCGCTTCCATCCATTTATCCATCCATCCCGCTTGCTCCACCCAACCCTCTTGCCCCACCCCCCAGACACCAAGATAGACTGGGATGCGTACATGTCACAAGTCACGGGCTTCCAGCACGGGGAACGGGATTACACCAAGCTGGAGGGCGACACGGGCCCCCTCGTCTACCCTGCAGGGTTCCTCCTCTCCTTCTCTGCTCTCAAGTGGATAACCGGGGGAATCGTGGCAAACGCTCAGGTGGGTTCTTAGAAACTCAGGGGCACAAGGGTGGGGGATCACTCCCTCCGGGGCGCTTGGGAGAGACAGACACGGGCCCCCTCGTCTACCCTGCTGGCTCCCACCTCCCTTCCTCTACCCTCATATAGATCACAGGAGGGGTTGTTGCAAACGATCAGGTGGGTTCCTGGCAAGGCCAGATAGATTCCAGGAAGCTCCAGGAAGACGCAGGCCCTCTTGTCTACCCTGCCAAGTTCCTCCTCTCCTTCTCTGCTCTCAAATGGATCACCGGGGAAATCGTGCCAAACGCTCAGGTAGGTTCCTGGAAGGTGAGGAAGGTTCGTGGAAGCTCATTTAGGTCCCTGAAAGTGCAGGCAGGCTCCAGGAAGCTCAGGTAGGCTCCTGGAACTGCACATGGGTTTAGGCTCCCGTCTCTTCCTATGTTTCCTCAGCCTTTCTCACAGTCTCCACTTTTTCTTCTCCATCTCTCCTGCCTAACCCTCCTATGTCTCCTCAGCCCTCTCGTAGTCTCCATTTTCTGATTTTGTGTTGTTTTCCTCCACAACCCCTGCCTCTCTCTCTCCTCCGTCTTTTGAGTCGACTCAAAAGTCACCTTGTTTTCCTCCACAACCCCTGCCTCTCTCTCTCCTCCGTCTCTCCTTGCTCTCTTCTCGCTCCGGCCTCGCCTCCATCGCAGGTGGCCTTCCTCGTCCTCTATCTCATCAACCTCCTCATGGTCTTCGCCATCTACATCCGCACACAGGCGGTAAGAAGCAGCGATGCAGATGTTGTGCTGTGTCGAGGTGACTCTATAGTTGACTCACATGGCATGCCACATGGCATGCTACATCTACTCTATAGTTGACTCACATGGCATGCCACATGGCATGCTACATCTACTCTATAGTTGACTTGACTCACATGGCATGCCACATGGCATACTACATCTACTCTATAGTTGACTTGACTCACATGGCACGCCTCTTCGTGCTGCTGCAGGGTTTTTTTGAGAATTCTCAAAAAAACCCTACAGCACATGGTACGCCTCTTCGTGCCCTGTCCTCTGTTATCATTGATTAATATGTTGATGTTACTTTTGAGAATTCTCAAAAGTAACATCAGCATGGAATGCCTCTTCGTGTCCTGTCCTCTGTTGTCATTAATATGTTTTATGGTGTTCGCGGCCAGAGGTTGCGTATGAGTATCATTGATAACAAGGCGGTCACTGGTGGGTGCTTTTGCTGGTTCCAGGGCATGTGCTGGTCTGCTGCACCCATGTTCATGCTTTCTTCCCCACACCTGCCCAATCTGTCCTCTCTTTTCTATATCAGGTGCCCCCCTGGGCGCTCGTGCTGCTGTGTCTCTCCAAGCGTCTGCACTTCATCTTCCCTCTGCACCTCTCGCCCCTGATTCCCTCATTCCCCACACCTGCCCAATCTGTCCTCTCTTTTCTATATCAGGTGCCCCCCTGGGCGCTCGTGCTGCTGTGTCTCTCCAAGCGTCTGCACTTCATCTTCCCTCTGCACCTCTCGCCCCTGATTCCCTCATTCCCCACACCTGCCCAATCTGTCCTCTCTTTTCTATATCAGGTGCCCCCCTGGGCGCTCGTGCTGCTGTGTCTCTCCAAGCGTCTACACTCCATCTTCCTGCTCCGCCTCTTCAACGACTGTCATGTTACCCCGTTACCCATTTTCCCCCCCATCCCCCCACACCAGGTGCCCCCCTGGGCGCTCGTGCTGCTGTGTCTCTCCAAGCGTCTACACTCCATCTTCCTGCTCCGCCTCTTCAACGACTGTCTTGCCATGGCTTTCCTTCACGCCTCGCTCCTCAGACTCCAGTCATCCAGATGGATCCCAGCAGTGCTCCTATTCAGGTCAGCAGAAACAGTTTGGACTAGTCTAGACTCTTAACCACTACCTCGCCTCGCCCGCCATGGCCTTCCTGCACGCCTCGCTCCTCAGACTCCAGTCGTCCAGATGGATCCCTGCAGTGCTCCTATTCAGGTCAGCTGAAAAAAGTCGACAGGAGATGTTTAGGTTTTCCTCCATGCCTCGCTCCTCAGACTCCAGTCATCCAGATGGATCCCAGCAGTGCTTCTATTCAGGTCAGCAGAGATTGCGTTGTGTAGACTCTTCAACGACTGCCTCGCCTCGCCATGGCCTTCCTCCACGAATCATGCCTCCCTGCTCAGACTGCAGTCGTCTAGATGGACGGATCCCAGCAGTGCTCTTATTCAGGTCAGTAGAAACCGTCTAGACTTGTCACATGATTGCAGCTAGACTCTTCAACGACTGCCTCGCCATGGCCTTTCTTCACGCTTGCCTGCTCAGACTGCAGTCGTCTAGATGGATCCCCGCAGTGCTCTTATTCAGGTCAGCAGACACAGTTTGGACCAGTCCAGACTCTTAAGTGACTGCCTCGCCTCGCCATGGCCTCCCTGCTCAGACTGCAGGCGTCCAGATGGATCCCCGCAGTTCTGCTATTCAGGTCAGAAGAAACCATCTTCTGATTATTCTCACATAACAATCTCGTCTCGCCTCTTCAACGACTGCCTCGCCATGGCCTTCCTCCATGCCTCGCTCCTCAGACTGCAATCCTCTAGATGGATGGATACCAGCAGTGCTTCTCTTCAGGTCAGTAAATTTCAACTGGACTTGACTGGTCGCATCAGGACTGCCTCGCCGTGGCCTTCCTCCACGCATTTTGAGGCGCCTCAAAAAGCCTTCCTCCACGCATCCCTCCTCAGACTGCAATCCTCCCCATGGATCCCAGCAGTGCTGCTATTCAGGTCAGTAAGTGATCTCTAAACGAGGCGCTTCAATTCAACCAGTGCATGACTATGACCTTCAATTCAACCACCGCATGACTATGACCTTCAATTCAACCACCGCATGACTATGACCTTCAATTCAACCAGCGCATGACTATGACCTTCAATTCAACCACCGCATGACTATGACCTTCAATTCAACCAGCGCATGACTATGACCTTCAATTCAACCAGCGCATGACTATGACCTTCAATTCAACCAGCGCATGACTATGACCTTCAATTCAACCAGCGCATGACTATGACCTTCAATTCAACCACCGCATGACTATGACCTTCAATTCAACCAGCGCATGACTATGACCTTCAATTCAACCACCGCATGACTATGACCTTCAATTCAACCACTGCATGACTATGACCTTCAATTCAACCACCGCATGACTATGACCTTCAATTCAACCACCGCATGACTATGACCTTCAATTCAACCACCGCATGACTATGACCTTCAATTCAACCACCGCATGACTATGACCTTCAATTCAACCACCGCATGACTATGACCTTCAATTCAACCACCGCATGACTATGACCTTCAATTCAACCACCGCATGACTATGACCTTCAATTCAACCACTGCATGACTATGACCTTCGATTCAACCACCGCATGACTATGACCTTCAATTCAACCACCGCATGACTATGACCTTCAATTCAACCACCGCATGACTATGACCTTCAATTCAACCACCGCATGACTATGACCTTCAATTCAACCACCGCATGACTATGACCTTCAATTCAACCACCGCATGACTATGACCTTCAATTCAACCACCGCATGACTATGACCTTCAATTCAACCACCGCATGACTATGACCTTCAATTCAACCACCGCATGACTATGACCTTCAATTCAACCACCGCATGACTATGACCTTCAATTCAACCACCGCATGACTATGACCTTCAATTCAACCACCGCATGACTATGACCTTCAATTCAACCACCGCATGACTATGACCTTCAATTCAACCACCGCATGACTATGACCTTCAATTCAACCACCGCATGACTATGACCTTCAATTCAACCACCGCATGACTATGACCTTCAATTCAACCACCGCATGACTATGACCTTCAATTCAACCACTGCATGACTATGACCTTCAATTCAACCACCGCATGACTATGACCTTCAATTCAACCACTGCATGACTATGACCTTCAATTCAACCACTGCATGACTATGACCTTCAATTCAACCACCGCATGACTATGACCTTCAATTCAACCACCGCATGACTATGACCTTCAATTCAACCACCGCATGACTATGACCTTCAATTCAACCACCGCATGACTATGACCTTCAATTCAACCACCGCATGACTATGACCTTCAATTCACCACCTGCATGACTATGACCTTCAATTCAACCACCGCATGACTATGACCTTCAATTCAACCACCGCATGACTATGACCTTCAATTCAACCACCGCATGACTATGACCTTCAATTCAACCACCGCATGACTATGACCTTCAATTCAACCACCGCATGACTATGACCTTCAATTCAACCACCGCATGACTATGACCTTCAATTCAACCACCGCATGACTATGACCTTCAATTCAACCACCGCATGACTATGACCTTCAATTCAACCACCTTCTCATCTCAGATTTATGTCCTTTTGAAAATCCACTCCACTGCACCAGATTTTTCTCTTACCCTGATTCAAGTGGCCGCTCTTTTCATTTCAAGACTAAGAAATTAATCCTGTCCCTTTGAAACCCCACTGCACCAGACCCTTCCTTTGGTTCAAATAGTGGCTCTTCTTGGTGCAGCAGTCGGCTTTCAGGTATGTCCATCTTATCTTCGAAGGGTCTATGGTCTATGGTCTATGGTCTATGGTCTATGGTCTATGGTCAATGGTCTATGGTCAATGGTCTATGGTCTATGGTCTATGGTCTATGGTCTATGGTCTATGGTCTATGGTCTATGGTCTGTGGTCTGTGGTCTATGGTCTATGGTCTATGGTCTATGGTCTATGGTCTATGGTCTATGGTCTATGGTCTATGGTCTATGGTCTATGGTCTATGGTCTATGGTCAATGGTCTATGGTCTATGGTCTATGGTCTATGGTCTATGGTCTATGGTCTATGGTCTATGGTCTATGGTCTATGGTCTATGGTCTATGGTCTGTGGTCTATGGTCTATGGTCTATGGTCTATGGTCTATGGTCTATGGTCTATGGTCTATGGTCTATGGTCTATGGTCTATGGTCTATGGTCAATGGTCTATGGTCTATGGTCTATGGTCAATGGTCTATGGTCTATGGTCTATGGTCTATGGTCTATGGTCTATGGTCTATGGTCTATGGTCTATGGTCTATGGTCTATGGTCTATGGTCTATGGTCTATGGTCTATGGTCTATGGTCTATGGTCTATGGTCTATGGTCTATGGTCTATGGTCTATGGTCTATGGTCTATGGTCTATGGTCTATGGTCTATGGTCTATGGTCTATGGTCTATGGTCTATGGTCTATGGTCTATGGTCTATGGTCTATGGTCTATGGTCTATGGTCTATGGTCTATGGTCTATGGTCTGTGGTCTATGGTCTATGGTCTATGGTCTATGGTCTATGGTCTATGGTCTATGGTCTGTGGTCTATGGTCTATGGTCTATGGTCTATGGTCTATGGTCTATGGTCTGTGGTCTATGGTCTATGGTCTAATTCGAGGTTAGCAGGCAGGGGTTATGGTTTGTGACTCGGGTTTGGCATCCACAGTCAAGAATTCTGTGATAAAAATAAATGGAAATGAATGTATTCAAATGGCTCTTACTCACTATGTCCGTTTGTAGCCATCTATTTTGGTCCTGTAATTCCGTTCCAGTATATTTCCGTCAATCGCATCTTTTTGTTGTTCAATGTCCATCGCACCATGCATGCCCTTGCTCTTGCTTGCCACGTGGCAGCTTCTGGTTGGCTGGCCATTCATCGGCACCTTCCCTCAAGCCTACTTTGGCCGGGCATTTGACCTCGGACGAGTCTTCATCCACTTCTGGTACTTCCCCGCTGCTCTTATCATCTGTTCTTGTGCTTCTTCTCATGTTGACTTTTGAGTCGACTCAAAAGTCAGCTCTTATCATCTGTTCTTGTGCTTCTTCTCATGATTCCTTGGGCTCCGTATTGAGTCGATTTTTTAGTCGACTCAAAAATCGACTCATCACACATTTTCATCCACTTCTGGTACTGCCCCGCTGCTCCGCTGCCCCGCTGCCCCGCTGCTCTTGTCATCTGTTCCTCATGATTCTTGTGCTTCTACTCATGATTCCTTGGGCTCCGTATTGAAGTCGATGGACATGTTTCATCAGGTCTGTCAACGTCAAGTCCATCCTCCAGTCAACCTTTGTCTCCAAGCCCTTCGCCCTATGCCTATTGCTTGCTCTCTTCCTCACGCTTCATCTCCTGTCCTTTCTGTTACCCTCGCTTCCCTCTCGTCCCATCAGGTCTGTCAACTTCAAGTCCGTCCCCAAATCAACCCTTACCTCCAAGACCTTTGCTCTCTCCCTATCGCTTCACCTCTCCTACCCACCCACGTACATAACCGCCGCCCTTTCTTACTACACACTCTCTTCCCTTCTTTCTCTTCCCTTCCCACCCGTCCCATCAGGTCTGTCAACTTTAAGTTCGTCCCTGGGCCAACCTTTGTGTCTTAGCCCTTCGTTCGATCTCTCCTCCTTGCTTCCTCTCTCTCCCACCCTCTTCTCTTCCCTTCTCTCTCTTCCCTTCCCTCTCGTCCCATCAGGTCTGTCAACTTTCAAGTTCGTCCCAGAGTCAACCTTTGTCTCCAAGCCCTTTGCCCTCTCCCTTTCGCCTCCCATCTCATACATCCATTGCCGCCCGTCCTTTTTTATCACGCCCTCTCGTCCCATCAGGTCTGTCAACTTCAAGTTCGTCCCAGAGTCAACTTTTGTCTCCAAGCCCTTTGCTCTCTCGCTCCTGGCGCTGCATCTTCTGCTGCTGTTGCTCTTCTGCCACTTCTGCTGGTGCAAGTGAGTTGCGTTTGACTGGTGTCCATCCATACAAGTGAGGTGCGTTTGTCCAATGCATGAATGGAGTGCACCCGCTGCTGCTGCTGCTGCTCTTCTGCCATCACTGCTGGTGCAAGTGAGTGGCGTATGAGTGTGCTTCTCACCAGTGAGCTGTCCAATGCATGTGGAAGCACAACAGAGTGCACTTGTTGCCGCTGCTGCTGCTGCTGCTGCTGCTGCTGCTGCTGCTGCTGCAGCCTGCACCTGCTGCTGTTTCTTCTTTTTGTTAAAGTGAACCTGTTGAATGCTTTTGAAGTGTGGTGCACCTGCTTCTGCTGCTACTCCTCTTTCAATACACCTGATGCAAGTAAGTCATGTAAGATGGTCCTCGTGCAAGTTTGTACAGTGCATTCAGATCTTAATGCATTCAGATCTTAGTGCATTCAGATCTTAGTGCATTCAGATCTTAGTGCATTCAGATCTTAGTGCATTCAGATCTTAGTGCATTCAGATCTTAGTGCATTCAGATCTTAGTGCATTCAGATCTTAGTGCATTCAGATCTTAGTGCATTCAGATCTTAGTGCATTCAGATCTTAATGCATTCAGATCTTAGTGCATTCAGATCTTAGTGCATTCAGATCTTAGTGCATTCAGATCTTAGTGCATTTCTGTACTTTTGAGAATTCTCAAAAGTACCATCAACGTAATTGGTACAGTGCATTCAGATCTTTATGCATTCAGATCTTAATGCATTCAGATCTCTTAATGCATTTCTGCTACTGCTGCTGTTGCTGCTGCTGCTGCTTCCACAGCCACTTCTGCTACTGCACCTGCTGCTGTTGCTAAGCCGCCACTCTATTGCTGCCCTTGCATCCCTCTCGTACCATCCCCCATCATCTCCCTCTCCATCGCTTTCCATCCATCCCCACTCCTCTCCCCCTGCTCTCTACTCCCTCCCGCGCACCAGGTACGAGGGGGGCATGGTCCGAGTGGCCATCGCTGCTCTGCTCCATCCTCATCATCCCTTTGCACTCCCAACCTTTCCATCCATCCCCGCTCCTCCTCTCCCACTCCCTCCCTCGCACCAGGTACGAGGGGGGCATGTTCCGAGTCGCCATCGCTGCTCTGCTCGCCCCGTTCAAACGACTGCAGACTCGCCCTCTACATCCTGACCGTACGTTACGTTATACCACCCCATCATGACCGTACATCATCATGGCTTCGTGTGCGCACGTCACGTCACCATCGCATCCTTGTCTTGTGGTGCATATGCCTCTTGACCGAATCCCTCACCTCATGCTGACATCAACCCCAAAACTTTGACGTTAAACCTGATGCCGTGAATCATGATTACGATTAAGTTAACAGCCGACACCCTGAACTGAGAGTCAATAAACCTTAATCCCCTGGAGGTTTTCATTGCTGGGCATTGTTCCACTGCCACTTCCAAAGATACATTTTTCACCTTTTCAAACTTGAACCCCCTTGAACCCCCTTGAACCCCTGACTGTGCTGCAGAGATCACCTATCTGATGCTCGTTGGCTATTAGGTGACTTTTGAGTCGACTCAAAAGTCACCTATCTGATGTTCGTTGGAAATTTCATTGGCAACTCGATCGATCGATACTCCTATCATCTATTCAAACCCAAAACTCCCACTCACTCGGCTACAGATATCACGTACCTGATGCTCGTCGGTAACTTTATCGGCATCTTCTGTGCTCGCAGCCTCCATTACCAGTTCTATTCCTGGTGAGAGTCAAATTCTCACCATTACCAGTTCTTTACCTCTTTTTCTCTGAGTATCAAATTCTCTCCTTTTCCCCTTCTCCCTGCCGTCACTGCCCCCTGTCCCTAAACGAGGTGTTTCGCAGTTGAACCCGAAATATATATATTTTTCAGCCCCCAGCCGCGTGTTCTCTTCTGTCCTCCTTTGTTCCGTCTTCTCTCTGATTGGTCTCTTATACTTCCTCCTCCTCCTCTCTTCCTTTTCCTCTTTTCCCCTCTGCATTTGAGTTCTCCTCCCCCTCTCTTATCCCCCCATTAGGTACTACTTCTCAATTCCATACCTCCTATGGGTTTCTCCTCTTCCCACACCACTTAGGTAAGTGTTGTAGCCACCACTCCCCCATCACACAGGCAATATTCGGCAATCACTGCCCACAGCACCCAAATCCATCTGGCTGTACGCGTTTTGAGAGGATTTGTTAAGATTGGTTGGTGATCAATTCTAGTATGCCAAAGCCGTTCAGAAATCTCCCTCTCCTCCTCACGCACCTCTCCTTCCCCATTCTCTCCCACACACACGTTGTGTCCCACCCCTCCCCATCCCATCCTTCCTACTTCCAGACTACTCCTGTGGCTAACAATCGAGTTGTCTTGAAACATCTATCCAACCAGCCTGCTCCCTCCTCCTAGTCATTTCAAGTCCTCCTTTCCCAATTTCGTTCTTCCTCTCGCCCCTCCCCCGTCCAGACTGCTCCTCTGGTTGACCATCGAGCTCTGTTGGAACATCTACCCCTCCACCTCTGCTTTCCCCCTCTCTCTCCTCACTCCCTGCCACACCTTGTTTTACTCCCCCCCTCCCCTCCCCCGTCCAGACTGCTCCTCTGGCTGACCATCGAGCTCTGTTGGAACATCTACCCCTCCACCCCGGCCTCCTCCCTCTCTCTCCTCCTCACGCACCTCTCCCTCCTCCTCGCCCTCTGGATGGCTCCCCCCCGCCTGCCCTTCGGAGCAGACGAGCAGTCGTGGCAGGGGCAGGGGCAGGGGGGAGGGGGGAAGGTAGAGGGTGGTGCAATGGGGGAGATGGAGGGTATGGGGAAGGAGGAGCGGGAGGCCATGTGGCAGCAGTATGTGGAGCAGATGACACGAGAGGCTGAAGCTGCTGCTGCTGCAGAGGCAGCCGCCGAGGGGACAAAAGGAGCAGAGGGATCAGAAGCAGGAGCGGGGGGGGATGGGAAGGGAGCAGAGGGAGAGAAGCGAAAGGCAGAGTAAAGTTGATGGTGTGGGATGGCAAAGTGGCAGCAGTATGTGCAGCAGTATGTGCAGCAGTATGTGCAGCAGTATGTGCAGCAGTATGTGCAGCAGTATGTGCAGCAGTTGGCACGAAAGGCTCAAGCTGTTGCTGCTGCTGCAGAGGCAGTTGCAGAGGGGACAAAACGTGCAGAGGGATCAGAAGCAGGAGCAGCAGCAGCAGCAGGAGCAGGAGCAGGAGCAAGAGCAGGAACAGGAGCAGGGGCCAGCGGGTTGGGAAGGGAGCAGAGGAAGAGACGCGGAAGGCGGAGTGAATGTGCTGGGTGTGAGATCGGAAGAGAGGAGAGGGGCGCAATGTGGGAGCAGCACATGGTGCAGTTTGCACGAGAGGGTGAAACTACTGCTACAGCTGTAGGGATCGGTGACAGCAGGGCAGGGGCAGACGGTAGGTGCAGGCAGGGAGGAAAGAGTGGGTGGAGAAATTTCAAAGGCGCTGAATCAGCAAAGAGGAAAGCGGAGCAAAAGGGTGATTTCTGAATTGGTTCAGAAAGTTGAGTGAAGCGGCTGGGTGTGGGGTGGTGAAGGAGCATGAGTGGGTGGCTGGGTGCAGTGGTACGGTAAGCACAGCATGAAGGTGCTGAGTAGAGAAAAGGTCCTCTGGTGGTCTGGTAGCAGCAATGGCTGAAGCAGTGGCAGCGTGATTTGATGTGCCGGCCAGGCTGCAAGTGAGGAAGCTCCAGCAACAAGTGCTGCTGCAGAAGCAGCTGCAGCAGTACCATACCATACACACTCGCTCTAGGATAATGAGGGAACCAGGAGCTGCAGTTGGTTTGGTTGGCCTTTGGGTGACAATGGCTTCGATGTCTCGGCATGTGGCTGCTGCAGTCAGTACTGTGCCGTACATGTGCATTTTACAAAACCGGGAGTAAGATTTCAACATGCAGTACAATTTTCTAGCTTCCAATAAAGTTTCATAATTCCAACCCAATGCCTTTCTTTCATTCTCTACAGTCCAGTAGAGAAAGCACAATCTGCAGCTTGGAATAGGTAACACATGCAACATCCTGAATCTTAGGAAACACAAGCACATAAAGAAAAAAAAAAGGATTATATTCTACAGTCTTCTGAAACAGGAACACAAATACACTATCTGCCCATGCAGAAAGCTGCTTCTGTGTCTACATCTGCTGCTGTCCCCCCCCATAGTCCCCCCAGTTGGCCCCCTCCTCCCATTCATCCTCTTCCTCCACCCTTCTCCTCCTCCTCCTGTCATACACACCCCCTTCCTCCACCACCCTCTTTCTCTTATCATAAATCACCCCCCTCGCCTTACCCTGGGAAACCCTCACTCCATTCAAATACTCCCTCACCATTCGTGTTGCAAACGGATTTGTCTCTGGCCTCCCTCCATTCTCCTCAAAAGCCGCCCGCAGTCGGCCAATCAGAGCGTCCAAACTCCCCCACGCCTGCTTCATAGGGCAGACACATGACTCCCGTACCGAGCTCGACCCATATAACGGACACCCTAAATCGTGTACGCGCGTCCGCCCAAATTGGTCCATATAACGCATGTATTCAACCACATGACGAGGCGTAGCGCGAATCATGGCCACGGGAGGCTGATGCCGGGCCAAATACTGGCTGAAATTGTTCCAATCGCGCTGCTTCTGCGCGTCATACTTATTCGCAGGTCGCGTCTGCTGCCCCTGCAACCCACTCTGTCCAAACGCAGACGCCACTACAGCAGCAGCATTTGGGGACTTGGGATCGCCGGGGCGAAGCGGGGCGAGCGGGGGAACGGCGGGGACGGGCGTGAGCGGGGTCTGCAGCGGCTGCTGCTGGTGCTGCATGTCAAGGAGCATGGAGAACACACCGCTCGCAGATGCAGAGTTAGAAACGACAGCGGTGGAGCGATTTCCGGCGCCACTCGCGGATTCCAGACCAGCGCCTTCCTCGACTTTGACCGTAACCTCGTTTTGAGCTGCTCCGTTTTGAGCTGCTTCGTTTCGAGCCGCCTCGGTTTGAGCCGCTTCGGTTTGAAGTGCTTCGGTTTGAAGTGCTCCGGTTTGAGCTGCTTCGGTTGGAGCCGCTTCGTTTTGAGCCGCTTCGGTTTGCGCTGCTTCAGTAGCTGCTTCAGTTTGAGCCGCTTCGTCTTGAGCTGCTTCGTTTTGGGCTCCCAGGTTGTCCTGAACAGCCGGAACATTCAGATTATTATCCGCTTGTCCCAGAAAACTCTCCTGAGCTTGATTGGTAGTTGCTTCGGTTGCAACTGTTTCATTTGTAGCTGTCTCGTTTGTAGCCGCAAATCCTCCACCATGATCCCCTCCTGGTAGACTTCCTTGCAGCAGCGCCTCTCCGTGCGCCGCATCTCCCGCCGCCAACTGCTCATGGAGCGCAGATCCCCTTCCGCCTTGGGTCAACTGCTGAGTGAACGTCGGCTGCTGCTGAGCAAACGTGGAATTTTGTTGAGTAAACGTCGAATTTTGTTGAGTGAACGTAAGATTCTGGTGAGATCCTCCGCCATGGATCGTCTCATGAGTTAACTGCTGAGTGAACGCAGAATGACGCGCCGCTTCTTGAATCAACTGCTGTGTTAACGCCGCGTGAAGCGACGATCCCCCATTCATCGCCTCATGAGCTGGCGCCGAGTATGGCGCCGAGTATTGCGCCGCGTATTGCGCTGATCCAGAATAGAACTGCTCGTGCGTTGACGCTCCTGTATTCGCCGGTTCAGGGCCGGTGTTTTCCGCCTGCAGCTGTGATGCGAGAAGCCCGTCGCGGTACGCTCGGAACACGGCTTGAGCGAACGGATCCGCCATTGTTGTTGAGGCTCAGCTGTAAGTCGGCCAAGTTGCTTCTTTCCCTGCACAGACGACATAGGAGCGACGAGGATGCGGATTAGACTCGGAAATACTGGAGAGTGATTCGGGAAACATCAACCAACGAAAACACAGAGAACTGCTGAAAGAAATAACGGCACCGCGATGCGGCGATCGAAGGTGGAGAATCATAAGTACGAATTTTGTGATGATGAAAGCCTGACAAGAATGACTTGGCTTGGAGCTTGGAGTGTACCAGATCGGGCTATGAGCTACAGTGATTGCAGGTGTAGTCGCTGCACTCCCGAAGCACCAGGAAATGGCGAACACCGCTAATAGAGAGGGAGGTACACGGCGAAACCCCTATAGAGACGCGCTCTACACCAAGAAGGCAACAGCTACACCGAGGAGCGGGAGCTACACCAGCAGCGACAGGTACACCAAGAGAGCTTCCATTGCAAGGGGAGCTACACGCAGCAGTCTACTCTACACCAGGCGAGCTCGAGGTTCTTGAGCTTAGGTGGACGAAAGAGAAACGAATGAAACCCTAGGCGGAGGTGGAGGGTGGAAGGGGGAAGGGGGAAGGCGGAAGGAAGCGCGGAACTGATGAGCGGTATGGTTGAGAAAGGGCATAGATTTGTATTCGGGAATACTCTGAAAGAAAACGATGAGTACTGTACACCGTAACGTACAGGCTCATCGTGTTCAAGTCCAGTATGGAGGAAGGCTTATGGAGTTTCTGTAAGTGACGAGCTGACTGGAGGCACGGCAGCCACAAGGGTATTCGTCATAGCAATCTGCGCTGGTGGATTCTGTTCGCTCGACCAGAGGGCAGTGCACAAAATTCCTGGCTGTTCCACGAAGCCATTTCCCGTACCTTCCCCCCCGCTTTCAAGCGGAAAAAACTGCACCACTGAGTGCGCTCAAGCAGAAGCAAGCGAGAATATCTACCAAACGTGAAATCCGCTGTCACCCGTTTGTGCTGGACTCGGCCCACTCGACCATTGCAATGAGTGCAGCTCAATTTCTCTCACGAAGTTCCGTTGTACATATGGGTCAAACGGAACATTCAAAGACAGAGGCTCTAAAAAAGGCATCGGATTTCACTTTCCATATGTTGCTAGAAGTCTTTCTAGAGAATTCAAACCAGCAAAGTGCATGGAGAGACAGCTAGGATTGTTGCAATCAGAAGTTGATCGTGCCTAGGATCACCTCATGAAGGTTCGCACAAAACTGAGTAGTGGTGGTGGGCCCGTGACCTCAATGAATGTAAATGCTTGAGATAATAAAAACATGCAAATACAGCACCATAAATAAGATTACAAGGGAATACCAATCGACCTAGCTAGCCATGTACTCTAAGGGGTACATTCCCTTATTACATCGAAAAACCAACCGTGCGACTCCAGACAGTTACGAAACTGTCCGGGCAGAATCCTTGCCACTGCTGCTGCCTGATGCTGTCTGCCCGACGGTCCAGATGCTTTCGTAACCGTGCGACCCTTCGCGTTACTTCCGCCCTTTCGCCTTCATTCTCAGTAGTGCGTGCTTCGATTGCTGCGGTGAGGAGTGCACAGTAGTGTTTCAATAATCACTATTCGTAACAAGGATAAACTTGCATTTGGGTGTTGTTGCCATTTCAAGAATATCCGTGGATTATCATACAAGCAAAATTTTTAGCACACTATTGCTAACAGTGCCAGACAAATGGTTCTTAGAATCTATGCATGAATGTGTCATTAGGTCAAGGGGGGGGGTACAAGAAGAATGTCGAGAGAAATGTTGTACCCCCTAGTGCTAACCCCCATACAGCCTAGATAACCTAAACATGCATATATGATTTGACACACCCCCATAGGCGAAATGGGGGATAGCCAGAGCAAGCAAAGGTCACAAGACCAGTCAAGAGAAGAAACAAAACACAGCTCAGGGTGGATCACAAAGTCACCACACACTCTGAGCACAAGCAAGAGGCCACAAGGCCAGTTTACATGCAGAGATGTATATGCAGCAATAGCACAGTGATCACTACCTAGCAAGAGCAAGGATGCAGGTATATATGTATAGATCACAGTACAAGCAGAGTCTACAGCAAGTGTGGAAACGTAGGCACAAGGCCCAACAAAGTACAAAAGCGCTGATGATCATCAGACGGAAGTGCCTTGGTGAATATATCAGCAGTGTTGGCCCGAGTGGCCACGTGAGCAAGACGAAGCTGACCCCGCTGCTGCAACTCTCGAGCCAGGAAGTAACGCAGAGCGATGTGCTTCGTTCTGTGCTCCATTCTGTGCTCGTGACACAAGGCAATGGCTGCCTTGTTGTCGACGTACAGCACTGGAGGAGAACGAGGCCGCTCTCCCAGGTCGGTCAGCAGGTAGGTGAGCCAGCGTAACTCCTGTGCAGCCATGGCTGTGGCGTAGATCTTAGCCTCACAACTGGAGCTGAGAACTGAAGACGAGTGTGTAGAACGCCAAGAAACTGAACCAGAGCCAAGGCTGAAGGTGTAACCCTGTGACGACCGCTGCGTAGCCTGGTCGTCAACCCAAGAAGCGTCCGAGTGACCAGTGAGGACAACGTCGCCCCGTCCTCCAAGCACGAGCCCCATGCCCGATGTACTGCACAAGTAGCGCAGTACCCTCTTAGCAGCATCCATGTGCACCTTTCGGTGCCGACCAGGAGCCACGTAGCGAGCCAGAAGGCCAAGACGGTACGCGAGGTCAGGACGAGTGCAGGTCATCAGGTACATGAGGCAGCCAACTAGCTCTGGGTAAGCACCACTCGGCTCTACGGACTCGTCCGAAGGTGGAGCTGAGAGCGAGTGACATGTAGCCAGAGGAGTGGCCTGTGCCGAGGACCAGGTGAAGCCGAAGCGCTGAAGGACCTGCTGCACCATGTGTGACTGAAACAGGGTGATGGTGCAGCGTGCTCTGTCCCGGGTGATCTGCAAGCCAAGGTAACTGCGCAGCTCACCCAGGTCTGTGCACGTGTGTCTCTTCTGCAGCTCCGACTTCACCAGGGCGAGAGCCTCAGTGTCAGCAGTGGCAAAGACCAAGTCGTTGACGTACACGAGGATGTAGAACGGCGGCAGCGAAGTGTCGGTGCGCAGAAACAGCGACGGGTCAGCAGTCGACGGAGTAAACCCAAGAGCCGCAAGTGTCGTCCTCAGTGTGTCGTGCCACTCACGTGGCGCCTGGCGGAGACCGTAGACCGGCCGCCGGAGGCTCCACTGGGTACCAGGAGGGAACGACCCAGTGAAGCCACGTGGGCGGCGCAGCCAGATCTCCTCGTGCAGGCCGCCCTGTAAGAAGGCTGTGCTGAAGTCAAGAGAGTGAAGCTCGTAGTCACACTGAGCGACAACGTGCAGCAGCACCCGAAGAGTGGTCATCTTCGGGGTGAGGGAGAAGGTCTGGAAGAAGTCGACTCCCTCCCTCTGACTGAAGCCTCGAGCAACGTAACGAGCCTTGAAGACAGGCGGAGAACCTGGCGGCCGCTTCACCCTGAAAATCCACATGCCACTGACGATGTTCGCCCCAGGAGGGGGAACCTCGTCGACGTATGTGCCTGTGGACTTCCAGGATGCCATCTCTGCGTCCATGGCTGTCTGCCACTGAGAGGAGTACTCACCCGCGATCGCCTCAGCGTAAGAGCGCGGGGTCGGGATGTCTGGAGCATCCGGGTCTCCCTCAGGGGCAAGCAGCATGGACACGAGATGAGGCGCAGCGGCTGCAAGACACTCAAGGTCCTCCTGCCTGTCCTCAAGGACGTCTGTGCTAAGGGCACACTCACCCCTGACGGACGGAGGACAGACAGACTCAGACTCAGAAACAAGACTAGCGGCGTAGTCTAGACGACAGGCAGCAGCAAAGTCAACAAGCTCAGCGACTAAGGCAGACGCAACAGCAGACTCAAACGACGGGTCAGTGACAACTGTGGCTAGCAGACGCGTGACAGTAGGGTGCTCAGCACGAAACCAGTCAGACTCAGGCTCAGGAACGGTAGGCAGAGAAGACGCAGGAGGGGACGGCAGGGGAACACGCTGCGGAGGAGAGGAAGGACGACGGACTACGAGGTGGGTGCCGAAGACAGCCGGCTGACGCGAACGAGGAACACTACGACCGGAACGACCAGAACCGACAGGCGAGACAGGACGCGACGCAGGCTCACGACGCTCAGTAAGACCCCCTGTCTGCTCAGTGTAAGGAGAAGGAGCAAGCAGCGGTGAGCCATGCTGTAACGGAAAACCAGTAGACGAAGGGAGACTAAGAACCTGGCGAAGCACAGAGTCAGACGGTGGCTGAGACGACGGAGACGGTGGAGCAAAGAACAGGCGCGGCTGTGCAGTGCCACCAGTACCAGCAGCTCCAGCACCTCCAGCAGCTCCAGCAGCTCCAGCAGCTCCAGAACCCTCAGCGCCAGCTCCTCCAGGACCAGCTCCACCAGCAGCAGCACCCCCAGAACCGGCACCTCCAGTCCCAGGGTCTCCAGCCTCAGTGTCTCCAGCAGCAGCACCCTCAAGCTCAGCACCTCCAGCCCCAGCAGCTCCAGTACCTCCAGTACGAGCACCTCCGGGACCAGCACCACTCCCAGCTCCAGTGACGTCAGCAGAAGTACCTCCAGCGGCAGAGCCCCGAGCTCCAGAAGCGCGGCCCTGACGGCGACCGTACCAGTCGTGCAGCTGCTGTGAGGTGAGAGGCACACGCGGACGAAGGCGGCTACTCCAAGGAAACCGCGCAACAGCAGACTCAGAACCCTCAGCGCCAGCACCCGCAGCAGCTCCAGAAACTCCAGCGCTAGCACCCGCAGCAGCTCCGAAACCTCCAGCGCCAGCACCCTCAGCAGCTCCAGAACCTCCAGCTCCAGCGCCACCAGCGCCAGCACCTCCAGCAGCTCCAGAACCTCCAGCTCCAGCACCCTCAGCAACTCCAGAACCTCCAGCAGAAACAACTCCAGTAGCAGAGTCACCAGCTCCAGCGCCTCCCGCAGCAGGGCCCCTAGCTCCAGCAGCGCGACCCTGACGGCCAACGTATCACTCACTCAGCTGCTGTGGGGAGAGAGGGAGTCGACGACGAGAGTGCAGCGGCGAGGCACCAGCGGAGCGACTACGAAGACGGCCGCTCTAGGGAGACTGCTCACCAGACGCCTCAGCGCCCCCAGGCGCAGCACCCCCAGACTCAGTACCCCCAGGCTCAGCACCCCCAGACTCCTCACGCCCAGGCTCAGCACCTCCAGTCTCCGCACCTCCAGGCTCCGCACCCCCAGGCTCAGCACCCCCAGGCTCCGCACCCCCAGGCTCAGCACCCCCAGAAGCAGCACCCCGAGCAGGACCACCCTCAGCAGGACCTGAGTCACCAATGACCTCAACCGGCTCAGTCAAGGGAGGAGGGTCTACCTGAGACACACCTGAAGGAGCAGGACCGGGAGCGGGGAGGGGGTCTACCTGGGGAGCACCTGGAGCGAGGAAGAGCGGCGGGGGGGGGGGAGAGGGGCAGTGCGGTAGGGGCAGAGACGGTAAAAGGGAACCGACTCGTCGAACGTGACGTCCTGAGAGGGGAAGACACGGCGCGAGGTGGGGTGGTAAAACTGCTAACCAGGCGCGTCAGGGACAAAGCCAAGGAAGACACAGGGAACAGCGCGGGCGGAGAGCTTGTCCGCGGTGGTATCGCGGACAAAGGCACGAGCACCCCAGACCCGGAAACGCGACGCATCTCCAACCTTCCCCGTCCACAGCAGTGTGGGCGAGGTCTCCGGCAAGGAGACACAGGGCCAGAGGTTGAGCTGATGCGTGGCGTAC